CTGGGCTGCGCGGCCGGCGACCCACCCTGGTCTGCCAAGCCCGCTCCGCCGGCCTCTGGGAACCACCGCCACCGCCGCCCCCTGGATGATAGGCCCGCATGCCGTGCCAAGCACCTCTGGAACAACAATGGCGGATCTGAGCACAGGCCTTGACGGGGGCGGCGACCCCCCAGAAGAGGAGGAAGAGGACTCCGCCGAGAGGGAGACCCGCGAGGCCATGGAGGCGAGAGGGACGATCTGGTGGCCGCCGCCGCCGGAGTGGCCGCCGGCGCAGAGAGAGGGGAAGGGGCGCTCAAAATCATAGCAGTTATAGCATAGAATATAAACTCTTAATTATGATGAATATGAAAAATATAATGATACAATATCATTGACTTTAGGGCATATTTCCAACAGTAGCTTCCTCCGATCTAGGACTAGAAGACGGGAGACTTCTTGGGCGATAAATGGTGGTTCAGCAATGTTTGTGTCAAGGAGTTTACGCAGTATGTTCTTCCTTCGGCGGCGGGTTGCTCCCTTGCCCTCGTAGCATCGATGGCAGTTCCTGGGGTTCGCTGAGGAGTTTGATGGTCAAACTTGCTTGGTGCATTCGTATCCTATTAGTTGTTTGTAGCTTCTTGTATCTTTGCCGCTTTTTTCTGTTTTTTTTAATTTGTTGTAACCTATGTAACTTTGTTGTGGTGGTTGCTTTATACTATAGACTGGAGAAACACTTTTTCGTCATGGTTGCCTTTGTTTTATACTCTATTTAACAATTAATAAAAATAATTGTGCGCATAGTAATGCTAGAGAGGTCGCGAGTGTTAACCTCCTTTTCAGAAAAAAAAAAGCCATATCAAACCAAGTAAACAGTTCGCCTCACGCAACGAAACCCATGTAGAATATCTTATCACTAGAGTTCTCTTTACCTAACAAGGTCATGGTGCGTCAATCCTGAGTAAGAAGCTCTTCTAAAATATGGGGGTGAATGGTCTTCAGATGCTCAAAGCCATCACTGCCCATGATTGCCTTCAAGTTTTGAAACGACCCGAGGAACTGGAAACATGCCTTCTTGACCCCATCACAACCATGTTGCTTAGCAAATGCCAATGTAGTTGCCACCGTAATAGTGTCGATGTGGTTGCACAACATATTTGTGCAAATCAACTTTAGCCTCTGTAAATCGTACCTATCTGCCGCAACAAACAAATGTTGAGCCACCTCTTTGATTCCGCTGTCATCTATATGGGGCAACGAATCAGTGTAGATAAAGTAGAGCATCATCCTGAAAACTCTTGGTTCCATGCCATTGATCCGTATACATGTTGCATCATTCTCCTTCATTGGACCGAAGAGCTGCGCCATGAACACCGACGAGCGAGCTACCAGCAAGCGCCTGTGCGCGGCGAACATCTCTCCACTAACCTCAAAAATCACGTCGGCACCCTGGCCGGTCTCCAGGATACGGCCAAACTGATGAGCCAGTCCACAAGGCGGCGCCATACCGAGTGGTATCGTGGGCTGCCTGCGGATTCCCTTGGCGATGCTAACATCACATCTAATGTTGAAACAATTGTCTTCAACATATGTCGAACTGTCCAATTCATCCCTTCTGATAAACCTTGGAAACTCAATGGTGTGTCCTTGGGCAGAGCATGTGAATGTATGACATGCTGTCGTGTATTTTATCACCGGTTTACCCACCTGGTCTAGCAGGCTAAACCTGCATCTGACCTTGACCTGCGTAGCATCACTGTGATGAAGACGTAGCGAAATAGATATCCAATCGGCACAATCCGTGCTCCTGCCATCAGGATAGTATATGATTTTCCAGGTATGCCCTCCAACACTGAATAGGCCGGATGGAATCTGCCTGCAAACACCGAGTCCAAGGGTATGGGAGTATCCCTGAACTGTGAGGACGTGTGACCCGGACACACCTTCGGCGACAATGGACGATGATGTGTGCGCCGGCGTGTCACCACCGGCAAGGTCATGCTCTGAAGACCTAAGCATGTCCTGTGGAACATCAACATTCGCGACTAGCACCTCTAGAATATTTGGCTGACTGGTCTTGATGTTCTCAAAGGCATCACTCCTTATGGCTGTCTTAAGGTTTTGAAACGACGTGAGGAACTGGAAGCATGCCTTCTTAAGCTCAAGACAACCATGCTGGCCAGCAAATGCCAACACAGTCATCACCATGCTTGTGTCGATGCAGCTGCACAATGCGTTCTGGCAAATCAACTTGAGTTTCTTGAGGTTATACCTATCTGCCGCGACAAACAAAAGTTGAGCCATCTCCATGGATTCGCCATCGTCTATCTCGGGCAACGAATCGGTGTAGATAAAGTGAAGCATGGCCTTGAAGACCCTTGGTTCCATGTCATGGATCCGTATACATGTGGTGTCAGACTCCTTGAACAAAAGAGACTGCGCCATGAACACGGAAGACCGAGCAGCGAGCAGGCACCAATGAGCAGCATACGTGCTGCCGCGGACCTCGAAAGTCACATCCGCCGCCTCGCCGGTCGCAAGGATACGGGCAAGTTGCTCATGCATGTCTGAAGGTGGCGCCGTGACGAGCTGCCGTGCCGTGTCCTCTTGGGTGAGGACGTCAGTGACGGTGACATCGCATCTGACGCTGAAACAGTCGTCGGCCAAATACGTCGACTGCTCCAGTTGACTTCGTTTGATGAATCTAACACACACAGGTCCTTGCCCTTGGTCGATGCATGTGCGTGCCCGGCATAGCCGAGTGGTGTACTCTGGCGCCGGTCTGCCGAGCTGATCCAGTAGGCTGAAGCTGCATCTCACTTTGAAGCTGAGTACATGGTCGGCGGTGTCACTGAGGAGTAGCCCGATGGATATCCAGTCGCTGGCCCGTGCAAGGATAGCGTCGGGATAGTACATCATGTTCCAGGTGTGCCCTCCGACTACGAAACTGTCGGATTTGATGGACTTGCCGACGCCGAGTCCCAAGGTGTCTGAGTAACCCCTGACTGTAAGCACGTGCGATCCGGACATAACTGCAGCGGCAATGGTGGACGCGGTGTGCGCCGGCGCGTCGCCGACAGGCCCAGGAAAGCTAAACATACTAGCTAGCTCGGGTCGCCCGATCGGTCTAGCAGCAGCCGGCCGGATTGGTTGAATAGGAAGAGATTGATAACAGCGCTTAAGGGAAGCGAAGAACACCGTAGCCTATATGCATCGATCGATCTTTTCCCTTATTATATTTATATATAAATAATACTACGTGTTGTACACTGCCCTGGCCGTCCTTTTCCGAGTCAAATTAACTAAAAACACTCACTCGGACCAGATGTGTTGAGTAACATGATGGTATTACAAAAGACGAGTTAGACTAGAAAATATTTTGGCTTGCCTTGTACTTCAAATAGATTATGTACTTCTATATATATGCCCACGAGGCTCAAGCAATACAATGAACTATTCCACCAAATCCCTCTCACCCTTTTAACATGGTAAAGTTTTCGGGTTCTAAACCCTAGCTACCGCCGCTTCTGCACCCGCGCGCCGCACCCGGGGCGGTCTGCCTCCATGATCACCGCTGGGGGCCACGCCGCCCGTACGTAGGGTTCGTCCGTCGGCCGTGTTGGCCGGCTGCCCTAAAGAGTCTTATTTTTCACGAGCCCTTGCTTCGCGGTTTTCTCTCTCCCACCGGTCATCTTAATCGGTGATTTCTTTTTGGTTTTTCGATCCAATCTTGATCGGTTTGCGTCGCCCACTGCCGTCGTCGACCCCGTGCGCCTCTACTCCAACCCCGACGCGATCGGCCGACTTCTTCATCGACCCATCGGCCTCGCGTGTCGTCCGTGCGTCTGCCCGCCGGTCGCCCCGACCCGGCGGCCTCGCGTCATGCGGCGGCCCTTCACCGCCGCCGTTCGCGCGCCGGCCCGCCCGTCGATCTCCGGAGGCCGTTACCGCCCTGTTCCGACCGGGACTCCTGCATCACTCCGACCCAGCGGCCTCGCGCCATATGGCGGCCAATCATAGCCGCCCTGCCGCCCGCCGTCGCCGGCTTCATCTCGGACTCCGCCGCCACCCCGTCTCCACCGAGCAGCGTCCCCGACCTTGCGTGCGATCGGATTGATCACCCGCCCGCCGCCGTGATCCGCCTCATCTACGCCGTGCGACAGACCTGGCCCGTCGGTTGCGCGCGCCTCCGCATGCCCTATGAAGACTGTCCCGAGTTCAGCGCACCCCTCTACCGATGGAGCAACGGGCTGCAGCTGCGTCGCCCCATCAAGCCGCAGCGCTGCCGCCCCGTGGTTCTTCTCCTGACTGCATCGACCCGCGTCACCGCTGCGTCGCCCTTCGGGCCGTAGTGCCGTGGCCCGCAGTCCACCACCGCCCAGGGGCCATCCGCTCCAGGCCGTCCCCGTGGCTGCACCGACCCTCACGCCGCCGCTGCGTCGCCTCGTCGGGCCGCAGCGAGCGTGGCACGCGGTCCACGCCGCTGTCCCAAGGCCGTCCCCGCGGTTGCACCGACCCGCGTTTCGCCGCCGCGTCGCCCCTTCGGGCTGTAGCGCCGCGGCCTGCGGTCCCTACGACCGCTCCGAGGTCTTCCGCCGTTGCCCTGACCTGCCCGCCGCCGCTGCGCGTCGACTTCTCGTGGTATGCGCCACGCTGCCTCCCTTGGCGCAGGAACGCCATCGTCCGCGCCGGTCTTCATCACGCTGTCAGGGTTCTTCGCCTACTTCGAGCACCGCTGCCGCATTCCTAACCTAGCCGCCGCCGTCGTCAGGCCGCCATCGCCGCTCTTCTTTGGCCGCCGCCGCCGCCCGTCCACCCCCTTCATCTTCGTCCAAGCACCAGCCCGTCGCCAGCATCGCCGTCATCTACCCTGACCACTTCGTCTACTCCGACCACCTTTGGTGACATCGGCCCCACGCCGATGGACGCCGCAATCATCGTCGAGTTCCTCTCTGCTGGCCCCTCCGATTTCTCCGACATGGCGTACAGCTCATGTAGGTCCCTCATCTACGCATGCCCGGTGCTGGCAACACCGATGCGTGGCTTCATCCATGAAGTGTCCCTGGGCCTGGCAAGCCTGGTCGGCGCTTCGTTAACTTCGTCTTCGTCCGTCTATGCATGCCCGGTGCTGGCAACACTGGTGCGTGCCTTCATCCATGATGTGTCCTCGGGCTTGGCAAACCCTCCGTGACGCGTCGTCAACATCTTCTCCCCGGCGCACCACTACTTCGACACCACTGAGCCCATGCTAACTCGGTGCCCCCTTGTGCCCGCGGCTCCACGGCGACTTCCTCGACACCGGCCACCCCGACTCGACATCGACCACGACATTCTTCGCACGGCTACCTCGACCATGGCTCCACCACCCACGCTCTCGGCTACATCGACAAACGACACAAAGGGCTATCGCCTGCTTGAGCAACCTCATTGGTTTCCACTCCAACCACGACTCCGTGATGCGTCGACCGTTACGACTGTGTGTGTGTGTGTGTGGGGGGGGGTGTCCGTCGGCTTGCCTTCGGATTCTTCTCCAGTCTCACCGTCTGCGTCGCTACTGTTGTGACTGCGGGGGGATGTTGAGTAATGTGATTGTATTAGGAAACACAGGTTAGACTAGGAAATATTCTGGCTTGCCTTGTACTCCAAGTAGATCATGTACTCCTATATATATGCCCGCAAGGCTCAAGCAATACAATGGACTATTCCACCAAATCCCTCTCACCCTTTTAACAGGATGCAACCTCCTTGGCTCTCCTTCAAAGCTCAACGATCCAGATTCGACACGATAACACGTCCTACCTGTCCGGGGGCGAACAGGGAGCTCGTAGCTAGAATTTTGGACGCGATTATCTCACGAACGTTAGCTGGGGTGAATTGCCAGCGAACACCTTACTTTTTTTATCTTCAATCATAGTGCTACAACGAATATTGAAATAATAAAAATTACATTCAGATCGATAGACCACCTAGCGACTATTATAAGCACTAAAGCGAGCCGAAGATGCGCCCCTTGTTGAGGATACACATAACAAGTAGCCCACAAAGGGTCCAAAAATCATAAAGCATGGAGTCCACACACGCTGATGGGTTCAGATAAATTTCATACAGACATACTGTCCACTCGGATGACAGTCAATTACTCGGCCTATGACTCACTCGGGTATGCGAAGACCAATAGTCAACAAAGCAGTCATAGCATCATACTCACAGTAAAGGTTTCGTAGTGGGCTGACATTATGGGATTAATGTCCCACTTTTGTAACATAATAGGTGAGGGGTGGCGCACTCTATATAACCGACTCCCCCACCACATAGCTCTGGGGTGCCCTGGCTCTCTCTTTCTCCCACCTCGGGACATAGCTCAGGCATGGAGATCCATTCTTCCCTAAAACTCTCTCACACATTGTAATCCCTGGATTCATACTCAGATAAAAGAAAGTCTCTCCGGAGCACGAGACGTAGTGTTGTTATCTCCACCGTGAGGGGTCCGACCTCGCTAAAAACATTCGTGTCACCCGTTTGCATCTCAATAGATCACACTCCTTTACCCTATCCCTATCTACTGTCGAAATCGCTCTCATGACCAGTGGCCCCCACCATGGGGCATGGCATCTATCGAGCCATCGTGCAAATGGTTTTTTCTTCAATCTTCGGCAACAGATCAACGGCCATCAGGAGAGAGATTGGCTGCTGAAATTTTAGCCATTGTGCCATTCATACAAACAAAAGGACCAGGGAAGTTCATTCGATCTAGTTGTCGTGGGAGTAAGTCTGACAATAGAATAGGGGGTACGTAGGAGGAGGCAAGGTCCTAGCTACGGTGAGGTTGTGCACGCAAGGTTTTACGAGTTCAGGTCCTTCTCGGAGGAAGTAACAATACTATGTCTCGGTGACCGGAGGCTTGGTCGACTGGATTATGCGTGAAAATTATAGGGGGTGCGAACCCTTGTGCCAGAGGAGGGGCGTGGCTTATATAGAGTGTGCCAGGACCCCAGCCACCCACGTTACACAGGGTTCAATGTACATTAAGACAGGGCGCTACTGGTAACGCTAGCTATAAAGAGCTACATATGATCTTTAACACTACCGAGTGAATGCTTGACCGTTGCCATCCTGAGTGACTTTAGACTTTCCATGCTCTGAGTGACTCTTCGTGCGGTCGAATGACTGTATACTGGTCGAGTGGAATTGGGGTATCTGAGTGGTATGTTTGCTCGAGTGGATTGTACTCCAATGTGATCTCATTCGGTATCTTATGTTGGTTCTTGAATGTACTTGACTTTGGGGCAGTGTCCTTGGGAAGGGCATCTAGGTCAGGCCTATTACCCTACCCTAGGTACATGTCATCGTCATTAGCCCCCGAATGGATTGAGGTCCGAGAGAAGAAGGGTCGAAATTGATTCTGACTCGATTCTTATGCTTCGGAAGCATCTTACCTGAGTCTGGGAATCATGCTAAAACTTCAACCTTATTTCAATCGCCTTGATCGATTCAGAGGTCATCGAGGGAACTATACTGACAATCTTCGAGTGTTGATATGGTATGAAATCTTCAGCGCGATTGGT